TGTGTGTGTGTGTGTGTGTGTGTGTGTGTGTGTGTGTGTGTTTAATTGCTCTTTTAGCTACTTTTGCCTGAACCTAACGCTGTAAGTGAAACAAGGCATTTCTTGAGTTGCTGTAAATTATGCTATAAAACATATTTACTGTCTCATTCCAGAAAACAACAACAAACAACAACATCCTTCATGATGGACAGACATCATGGACACCACAGCAGCAGCTGTCTTCACTGAAACATCCTGAACATGATCGTCACTGACATGAGGCCTCTGTCGATGGTTGAAGACGAAGACTTCACAACAATGATCCACACTTTTAATCCAGGTTACAATAATCCACACTTTTAAACCAGGTTACAATAATCCACACTTTTAATCCAGGTTACAATAATCCACACTTTTAATCCAGATTACAATCTTCCCTCAATGACACATTTTACAAAGTAGCTACATATTGTGCAGGTATAAAGACACATTTGTATATATTTTTGTGTACATTTATTTTTTTAAGCTATTTGACTAACTTTTATTTTTTATTATTCAATATTTTACTAACAGAATAGTAAAATAGCAACCTGTTTTTTGTGTGAATTGCTATGTCAGTCAAATGTTCAATTTTGGAATAAAGGGGTGGAAATTAAAACGTTGTGGGTTTTTTTGCCGATTCATCGATTAATCGAAAAATAATCGGCCGATTAATCGATTATTGAAATAATCGTTAGTTGCAGCCCTACGTTCAACCCCTAATTTTATATATATATACATACACACATACATGCATACATACATACACACAACTTCAAAATCACATAAATTCTCACCCTGTACTGAAAACAGTTTCAGCGTCTCAGCGCCTCAGCGCTACCAGCTGGTGAGAGGTGGTGATGTCAATTTGAACCCCGCCCACTGGAACCGGTACTGAAAGCATAAAGGAAACACAATCTGTACCGTACCGAGTAGAGTAGAGCTGTGCTGTACCGGTACTACAGGTACTAATGGAAAAGGGGCATAAGGGTGCATTCACACCAGCCCTGTTTAGTCCGCTTTAATCAAACTCTAGCTCGTTTTCCTAGAAAGTCCAGTTCGTTTGGGGAGGTGTGAACGTGCCATCGAACTCTGTCATGGAACAAAAAGGCGAACTCTGGCCCGGGCTAAAACCTAGGTCTCGGTCCGGTAGAAGAGAACTCCAGCGCGGTTCGAGTACAATGTGAATGTAAACAGACCGGACCCACTCCACAAGCAAGAAGTGGAGTACAGCGCAGAGCAAACAAACACGCATTTCTCTTACCATGTATGGAGCCGTCAGCTGCCTTGTGTGGAAAAACAATATTTTCCATGGTCTTCTGCCTCATCTTCTGCTCATGCTGAGTCCATTTTAAAAAAATGACAAAATATAACTTCTAAAACTGCTAAAACTTGGTGCCACCGTTTTTTTATTTTATTTCCAGAAGAAGAAGTGTCTTCAGAGGTTTTTGTGTTGTTTCTTTCAGTAGTTCTTGGTGCAGCGCCCCCACAGGCGAGCGGGGGAACAGGTTGGTTCAACAGGTTGGCTCAACTGCACAGAGCAGTGTGAATGCAAACGCACCAGCTCAAATGTAAACAAAATGTCATGAATATTGGTCCCCAACCGAACAGAGTCTACCGGACTATCTAGTGTGAATGCACCCTTAATCTGGAGCTGCACTGAGTCCAAAATCCATCTGGGCTTGAAATGCAATTAAAGTAATTAATAAAAAATAAAATAATTATCAACATTTTCCTATTAGACCTGCCTTGCCCTGCAATGTATGAACAACAATACACTTCTAGGCTCTGTGTCTCTGCTTTAACATAAATAAGATTTACTTGGTAAATACTGACACACCTCAGAGCTTTTCAGCTTGTTCATCGCGTCAGAAGAAACGCTAAAGTAGTTAAAGTAGCAAAACATGCTAGTAGATGTAATCTGCAGCCCTCGTGTGCAGCAGGCAGAATGATTATATTGTCCTGTTTAAATTAAATTCACAAAGCTCAGACTAACTTTGCGCTGTTCGCACATAAACGCAGTTTCGCTCCGCCTGAAGTCACGCACATATTACACGCAAAACGTCACCAAAACAATGTACTTACTGTCCACAAAATGCATGCGTGCGTAAATATACAATAACACATCAACACAAATGACTGACTTACTTGTTTCGTATCTTGTGGTGTGTGATTAACTGAAATGTTGTAGTGAATGAAGAGCTGATGACGACTCTTCTAAACGTGGCGAGCCTCCTGCAGAATACGCATGCGCGCACACTGCAAATCGTGCAAATACACAGTAAGACCATGTATACACCAAAACAATTTACTTGCGTTCCAGAAAATGCATTGCACACTTCAAATTGTTTAAAGACACAATAATACACCAAAAAAAATTACCGACTTGTTTATTTTCATATATTGTAGTGTAGATCTTGTTTTGTATGATAAACTGACTACTACTCTGAACGTCACGGGCTTCTTCCAGAATGTGCATGCGCGCGCATGTGTATTAACTACATATAAGTTAAGTTTTAAGTTAAGTTTTGTCTCAAGAAGATGTTGAAGACGTTTACATATTTGGATTTATGATAGCAGGGTCTCTGCTTTTTGGCATCGGCGGGGCTCTGTTTTATCGACTTTTGAAGAAGACAGCGGGAGCAGTTTTGGCCATGGAAAAGCTTCCGAGTCAGTGTGAAGGTCTGGTCCTCGCTGTGGGAACTTTAAATCGTCTGGTCTACGAGCTTAACCGTAAGGTGGAGGCGATTGAGAATCATAGACCACCTGCGGCTTCTGGGACTCGTCAGCGTGGTGGGTTCGACCTTGAAGGAGACTCATAGCATGGATCAGTGGAATGGAATCCCACAATTAGGCTTTTTCGGAACCAGAACGCCCAGATGGACTCATGGCTGAAGGAAAAAAAATCTGTCTGCCTGAAGAAAAAACAAAAATCAAGCTTATCTAATCTGACTCCCAATGGCCTCGGAGACGGGCTGACTATCAAATTTCTACTGGGACATGAGTACCCAAGGACAAAAGCTTCATCTATCGCTCCCCCCGAGAACTTTCTGTGCAAGCTTATAAGAACTGCTGGCTGAAAACAACATTCTCAGAAAATGTGGCTGATCTGAAAAAAAGCTCATGGACAAATCTCAACACCTCGATGTCAAATGCAAATGTAATCCTGTTTTAATTGTGCTTGCTGGTAGAGTTTTTTGATGTCTCAAATCGTGTCCTGATAGACAAGATGTGAAAGATCTTTTATTGTAATACCACCATCTACCCTCATGTTTCTCCCCCTTTTCCTATCTAAGATTATTATCTGATAAGGATAAAATGGCTGCGCTCTCCTGTAGTTGCAGCTCGTGCACTCCGCCCATCTTTCGGACGACTGTACGTACATATTCGCGTTGTACCTCAGTGCAATTCCAATAAAGTTTATTCTGATTCTGATATATGAAAATCTGACGGATATCACTAACCGACAGAACACCTGGCTCTTTCTGTACTTCGGCTGCGCGCGCATCCACCGTGCTGATAAACAAATAATCAGTCTATAGCGCATCAATGGACTTGTTTTGGTTATGACGGGTGTACAATATTTTCCCTCAAAATACGATAATTTTATGTCTCTAGTACGATAATCCTACATTTCTCACCTGGCAACACTGTTTGGTGCTCACTGCATTTGAGAGTGGTAATTTAGCTGTCAGTTTGTGCTACGCATATGAAAATCTGACAATGTACGAAGAACGGACAGAACACCTGTTCACTTTATGGATCTGGATGAATCTAATGAGTCACTAAATTAGCCCGGTTCACTTGAGTCGTTCACTCTTTATTAGTTTTGGATCAGCACAGAGAGCTAAGGAAGAGCTATGGACATTAAACTTACATCACAAGTCCAGATGTCTGTTGTAAAGCTGAGTGTATTTGTATTAGCTTTTAGCAGGCTGCGGGTGTCTCTCAAAACTTGGCTGAACAACTCCGGTAATGCAACATCAGAAAAATATTTCCGACTCGGCATATTATATCGTGGGCACACGTGCTGCATCAAGCTTCTAAAACCTTTGTCCTCAACGACTGAAAATGGCTGGTCGTCTAATGCCATGAACTCCATCACTTTCCTCGTGGTAGCTTTGCTCTTTTCGCTGCTCATAAAAGCTAACAGCGACCCACCGACTGCCTCTTTGTTAGCGCTAGCTTTAGCATTAGCCTTAGCTTGGTTGCTCTCTTCAAACATTGCATACTTGGCAGCGTGGTGATTTCTTAAATGGCGAACGAGGTTTGTTGTATTAAAGGTTTTGGTGGTGGCTCCACCACGACTTACTTCGGCTTTACACGAATTGCAAATTGCGATCTTTGGCTCATTTTCTTTTACAGCGTAGAACTTCCAAACCGACGACATGGCTGCTCCGAGTGACCTGTGTGTGAGCTCTCACAGTGGAGCAAAAGGGGACAGCAGCTGATTTTCAGACCTTTCCAGAGGCAGATAAGATCGGTGGATAAAATCGGCTTCTCATTTAAAGATCGGCCGATCGCCAATCTCCCCAAATTAAGGAAATCGGGGCCGATCGATCGGCCGGCCGATTTATCGGTGCACCCCTACTAAGAAGCTAAATCCTTTATCTTCCAGAAAACTGCTACTAACTTGTAACATGAACACACTCGAAAGAAAGAATAAAGACACAAACCTAAAATGTGCAGTTGATCGTTGGGACTGAAAACAGCATCTAAGATGTGTCTTCCTCCGTTTGTTCCTGTTCCTGAGCTGCAGCTCTACTTCCAAACTCCTCCCACTTTTCTTCTTCGTCTGCTTCCAGGCGCTGTTTGAGCCGCTGGCTCCACATCTCTGTTAGCTTCCGGTCAGCAACATTTACCAGCTGTTACAGCTCAATTTAGCAGCAGTCGAGAGGAAAGGCCTTCAGCTCGTAGCTACGGAGCAGAACAACAAACACTGACCATCAGAACTGAGCAGCTTCCGGTGCTGGGAGAACATCACTTCCGTTAGCTGCTGCTCTTCAAAATAAGAGCTCGAACTGAGCTGCTCTTCAGCACTACATCCTTTAGTTTCTGTGTTCCCATGGCAACTTGGAAATATTTCGGCAAATCACTGAAACTCAGGGTTCAATCAAATTGATTTTTAATAGAAAGTTTCTCAGTGAAATCTTCTGAAAGACACTTTCTTTAGACAGATCCTAGAACAATAAAGTTCAGACTTTGCATTTCAACAGTGGTACTTTTTCTTAAATATTTGGGTTTATCTTCTCAGGTGTCAGACACTGCTAAGATATATTTATAAAAATATACAAATCAATAAAATGAACATTCATATTTCTTCTTTAAAACTTTATGTCTATAACTGTGTCCTTTCTAATGATATAAAGACGACACAGAAGGTTAAGAGTCATGATTCAATCAGTAACCTGAGTCTGGAAGTTGATTCTATGACAATATAGTTATCAATATTTGGTGAGTTACATTGTTTTTTCCACATGGCTTCATTTAATGTTGACATTTTAAAGTTTTCAAATCTTGTCTTTTTTAGTTTTGGTGAAAACAACAATAATGTGTCAATAAATAATGTGCAAATATTCATTACTGTCTGAGTTTTAGTTATAAAAATGTTTCAAATCTCAGCAGAACGTTAGATTTTGTTTACATTTGTTTGATTTGACTTCAGTCACTAGTTGCAGCTCTAATGGTACTAAAAGACAAAAGAGACATGCAGAAGAACATGGACACTAGAGCCCGACCCATATGGACATTTTGACTATCACTGATACCGACTGACAGGAAGTCAACATCAAAATAAAAGACAAATGGTACGAGCCCCAAACTGTAATAGAAAATAATGACTTCACCGTCCTCTGGGACATGCCTGTCCAAACAGAGAGGGACATTGTCCTCTGTGACATACCTGTCCAAACAGAGAGGGACATTGTCCTCTGGGACATGCCTGTCCAAACAGAGAGGGACATTGGTACTAATAGGACAGAAATTGTTATAAAAATAAAATACTTGCCTCCTTATCAATATGTCCCTCTCATCAGAAAGTAACTCTTCTGTGAAAATTGTTTAAAAACTAACAAATACAAAGATCTGGAAACAGAAATTGAGCGTATGTAGGGCCTAAAAACAAAAAGTGTTCCAGTAATAATCGGAACACTGTGACTTGTGAAAAAGGGACGGACAATAAAATCCCAGACAACAGAAAATAAGAGAACAAGAAAAAAAAACACACACACTCTTGGGTACAAAACATATTTAATAAAGACAGTTAGCATCAAATCAGCCTGATCTCCATCCATGTCTCATTATGACCCTATAGGCTCAAGGTCGGAGTCCAGCTGTGATGTTGTCAAAATTATCATTCTGAATAATAATAATAATAATAATAATAATAATAATAATAATAATAATAATAAACGTTTTATTTGGGTGATTACTAAGAATGAGGACTTATAACAGATTAACATTCTAACTAGCGATGCTACTTTAATTTGCAGGTTGCATTAAGGTTCATCAATAGTGCTCTAATCAAAGAACTGAATGACTGAAAGGTTTTTATTAGTGGTGCATCGATTGCAGTTTTCTGGCCGATCACAGATTTCTAAAGAGTCTGACCTGCTGACTCCAATTTTGGCCGATACAGGTTTTGTTTGATCAGCGACACTGTCAGGTGTTATAAGTTCACAATGCACCTGCAGTTTTCTAATCTTATTTTGTTGAAAAAAATACCCTTGAACAATATCCTAGAAACAATACAGATTTGTTTTAACTGAGGAAGTGCTCTGAAATATAAAGGAAGTTCAGACAATTGTTGTTAAAACAAACAAAAAAAAAAGTTAAATTGGTTTCTCATGCAAGTATCGGACAATTTCCGATTTCCCAAAATTAAAAAAAATCGAGGCCGATAAAAGGTCTGGCTGATTTATCGGTGCAGCCCTAATTTTTATTATTAGATTTTACTGACAGACATTGTTCCTACAGACCCGACCACAACCAGTGAGTCAGAACACTTTGAACCTTTAACACGTGGCTCTTTTTATTACTTATTGCCTCTTAATAACATTTAGTTATGATTGTTGTTTCTGAATTCTGCTGTTTGTTGTTTTGTTTTTATTTCACCTGTTTTCATTTATTTCTTGTACGTTTTGATCCAAACACAGACAGACTTTCTATAGAATGATAATAAAGTCTTATTTTGAAGAATGATCAAACATAAATTTGACTGGTGACGTCATGCCAATAAAGATGACAATAAAGA